CGGTCCTTAAAAAAAATGGGAAGATCAGGGTCTGTATTGATTTTAGAGACCTCAACACTGCTTGCCCAAAAGATGATTTTCCCCTTCCCATCACGGATGTTATCATCGACAATACGTGCGGATTCGAGAGAATGTCTTTTATGGATGGTTTCTCTGGTTATAACCAAATAAAGATGCATCCAGATGATGAAAAGCATACTGCATTTAGAACACCTCTCGGCGTTTTCTGCTACACGGTTATGCCCTTCGGCTTGAAGAATGCAGGTGCTACATATCAGCGAGCCATGTCAAAGATCTTTCAGGAGCATCTCCGAAAGACTGTCGAATGCTACGTAGATGATTTGGTCGTGAAAAGTCGTGATAAAAAAGATCACATTAAGGACTTGAAGACCATGTTCGACTTGATGCGAGCCCATCAATTAAAGATGAATCCTACCAAGTCTTTCCTCGGAATGTCTAGTGGTAAATTCCTGGGATTCGTCGTCACCACCAAAGGTATTCACATCGATCCTGATAAGGTAAAGGCGATTAATGAATTGCAGCCTCCGAGAAACCTCAAGGAGCTCAGAGGATTGCAAGGGCGATTAGCTTATATTCGTCGGTTCATCTCGAACCTCTCAGGAAAATGCCAACCATTCTCCAAGCTCACAAAGAAGGGCGTATCTTTTGTATGGGATGACGCTTGTCAAAAGGCATTCGAGAGTATTAAAGAATATCTCTCGAAACCTCCTGTACTCATCGCACCGAAATCGGGCAAATCGTTCTTGATTTATGTCAAGGCGACGAGCCACTCATTAAGTGCATTACTTGCACAAGATGACGATAACGATCATGAGCATGCTTCACGAGCAGGCAGTGTATTATTTGAGCCGAACCATGGTAGGCGCAGAATCTCGATATCCCATGATTGAGAGAGAATGCCTCGCCTTGGTATTCGCTATTCAGAAGATGCGACATTACCTGGTTGGACAGACCATTTATGTCATCTCTAAAGTTAATCCGATTTGAGTATTCATGACTCAACCAGCTTCCATGAGCTGGCGATTAGCAAAATGGGCCTTACTCTTGTCCCAATACGACTTGCATTTTAAGCAACAGAAGTCAGTAAAAGGACAGGCCATCTGTGATCTCCTGACAGACAATCCAACTACGGATACCGCCGAGATATATGACGACCTACCTGATGAAACCCACGAAGTCAACGCGACTTCACACCAACAAGTATGGCGTTTATACTTCGACGGCGCTTCGCGAGCAACTAATGTTGCAAGTGCTCCTGGAAGTTCTAAGATTTCTTCCGGAGTTGGAGTTGTCTTAGTTTCCCCGGGAAAACACGTGATGCCTCGAGCTTACTCGTTGACTGAACCGTGCTCAAATAACGTAGCCGAATATAATGCATTACTCATAGGACTCAGTTTCGCTAAAGAACTGGGGGTTGAGTACCTCGAAGCCTTTGGCGATTCTCAACTGATAGTTAAACAAGTTCAGGGAGAGTACGAGGTTCGAAGCCAAGATTTAATACCATACCATAAGATGGCAGTAGAGATGGCAGAATTATTCGAATGATTCTTTATCGAACATATTCCACGGCTACAGAATACCTACGCAGACGCGTTAGCAGCATTGGCCGTATCTCTGGCACAACCTCCCGAAACAGAACAGTTTGTTACAGTGAGGACTCACCAACTTTTAGTGCCGATCTACAATGAAGATAGCGAAGAAGAAGAGATTAAGGAAACACACTCAACCCAAATTAAATTTGAACCCCGAGATTGGCGTTTCCCCATCATTGATTACGTCTTACATGGAATCCTACCAGAAGACATGAAAGAAAGAGAGTCAATCCGACGAAGAGCGCCGAGATTCTACTATAACACGGAGAATCGAACGTTATACCGCAGGGGGTACGATGGTTTGCTATTGCGTTGCTTATCGACGAAAGAGGCTGAAGAAGTCCTTAGGGAGGCGCATGAAGGAGAGTGTGGCGCACACCAACCTGGCCCCAAGCTTTATGATCGCATCAGAAGAATGGGGTATTTTTGGCCTTCCATGATGAGTGATGCAATCACGTATGCCCGAAAGTGTAATGCATGTCAAATACACGGGAATTATATGCATCAACCTCCGGAGCATCTGCATCCTTCGGTTACGTCATGGCCGTTCGAGACTTGGGGAATGGACATTGTTGGCCTGATAAATCCCCCATCAGTCAAAGGCGACCGGTTCATCCTGGCAATTACCGATTACTTCTCCAAATGGGCTGAAGCAGTTCCACTCAGAGAAGTTAAAACGAGTAATGTCATTGCATTCATCAAGCACCATATCATCTATAGGTATGGTGTTCCAAGACGAATCATACATGACAACGGTCCTCAATTTGTCAGCAACGCCTTCATAAGGTTTTGCGAAAAGTTTAAAATTCAGGATATCTCGTCAACGGCTTATAATCCCACAGCAAATGGATTAGCTGAAGCCTTCAACAAGACTATCATAAAGCTCTTGTCAAAAATTGTGAAGAATAACAAGCGGGATTGGGATGACAAACTCGGCGCGGCTCTATGGGCCTATCATACCACGGTGCGTACACCGACCGGCGCAACCCCATATTCTTTAGTGTACGGATGTGAAGCTATTCTCCCTTTGGAGATTCAAATCTCGTCACTTCGAATTGCCCTCGCGACTCAAATGACGACCGAAGAGCAACATCAGAAGCGCCTTGAAGAATTGGAAAGGCTAGATGAGAAGCGTTTGGAAGCTCAACAGCATATCGAATTCTACCAAGCCAGAATCTTTCTCGAGCCTTCGACAAAAAGGTTCGACAAAGGAGTTTCAAAGAAGGGGATTTGGTTCTAGCTGAAAGGCGGCCTATGATCCTTAACTCCAAGAAGAAGGGTAAATTTGAACCCAAATGGGAGGGACCATTCGTAGTGGAGACAGTCTACTCGAGTGGCGCATATCGCCTTGTCACCAAGGACGGTGACCGGCTTATGATGCCGATAAACGGCAAGTTCCTGAAAAAATACTATCCTTAGTATCTTCAGGATAACCAATGCATCGGGAAGTTCCCAGAAGAACATCATATGAGGTATTCTTAGGGATAACCCAATCATTATAGGAGCGATGAATAAGAAATTCTCGTTCGAACTCTGAATGTCGGAATGTTCCTTCTTACTGTCAAATTCTCTAACTCTTATGAGTTATTTTTGTGAGATGAGATCCAATCCTCTGATAGGTTAATCTTTTTATTTTTGTGAGATGAGATCCAATCCTCTGATAGGTTAATCTTTCCTCACCAAACCATCCGCTGATCATTTTAAACGACGGTGGATCCACCAACATTTCCGTCTGCCCGTCGTTGGCATTTCTCAGACTCAACATGTTAGGTCCTAATCACTTAACATTGAAGTCTCCTTTTGAGTGATAGTACGATCCGGCATTCTCATTGCTACCTGTATTCCACTTTCTCTGCTTCCTTTGTCAAACCTATAAAAGTTAGGGCCACAACCAAAGTCCCCTCTCAATTCCTTCCATGAACGAGAGGTCCACTTTAAATTGAGCAATCAAACCTATAAAAGTTAGGATTGTTCCCAATCTCACTTAGTCAAACCTACAGATAGTTAGGACTAAGATCAAGTCATTCCTTTTCGATAAACGAAAATCTGCTTTTGTTCTTGGATTGTTCCCAATCTCACTTAGTCAAGCCTACAAATAGTTAGGATTAAGACCGAGTCATTCCTTTTCGATAAACGAAAGTCTGCCTTTGTTCTTTTTCCACCAAACCTATAAAAGTTAGGGTCGAAATTGGGCTTTCTCCTCAATGAATGAGAGATTCTTTTGATTCAAATGGCCAATCCTATAAAAGTTAGGGTCGTTTGAACCTTTCCGATTCTCGGAGTAGAGATCTCACTCTTAGTTTCATCATTTCGGATTCTGGGGGTGGAGATCCCACCTTGAGTTTCTTTTCCAACTGAAGATAGAATATAAAATTCTTCCTCTTTGGTACCGGGAGATAGAATATAAAATTCTTCCTCTTCCATTTTCCAGTCTGTCTTTACCCTGAGAAAAGACAAAATTCCCAACTTCCAATCCGTGCACTTTGTGCACGGGGAATTTTATCTCAACTCCTAAATGGAGATAAGCCTACGCCTAACACGCGTTGCCGGTTAGTCATTGACCGTAAAAAGGACAAAAGACCACATATTCAACATGGTGGCAGGTTGTTATTAATAACACCATAATCCGTGCCTCACACGCACGGGGAATTTTATCCCGAAGCCTAAGTAGGGATGAGTCAATGCCTAATACGCATTGCCGGTTTAGTCTTTCACCGATTGAAAAAGACACCAGAGTATAATTCTGGGGACTTTCATCCCGAATCCTAAGTAGGGATGAGTCAACGCCTAATACACGTTGCCGGATGCCATATTCCCGTAAGAAATAGCAAAGTCTATGTATTCAAAATCATAGCATTAAGTCTAAGAGAAGCAATTCTCTTAGCACAACGTTACATGTGAAACGGGTTTTAATAATTCACATGCTAGCCCGATTCAAACGGTAGTCGGTAAAGGCACATCAAACCCGTTGATGGCTGGGGGTTTGCCAAAAATCCCAAAGGCTATGTCTAACACGCATTGCCGGTTTAGTCTTTCGCCGAAAAAGGACAAAAGACCACATATTCAACATTGTGGCAGGTTGTTATTAATAACACCATAATCCGTGCCTCACACGCACGGGAAATTTTATCCATAAAAAATGGTGAAATCTATGTATTCAAAGTCATAGCATTAAGTCTAAGAAAAGCAATTCTCTTAGCATAACGTTACATGTGGAACGGATCTAGACAATCCACATGCTAGCCCGATTCAAACGGTAATCGGTAAAGGCATATCAAACCCGTTGAGGGCTGGGGGTTTGCCAAAAATCCTATAAATTTTATCATTGCTGGGTTCAAAGTAAATAAAGAAATATCATGAAAGAAGCAAATGCCGTGTCTCTAGTAATAGATCAAGTCAAAAGCATATAATAAAAAGCTCGTTAGCCCGAAGGCAACTGACGGCTAAGAACATGGGACTCTAAACTAGAAAGCCTGTCTGCATAGCTCTACTCAAGTTCTGCCTGCAGACTAGCTCGGACAGAGTCTTCGGAACTGCTTAAGATCTCCGCGGCTTCTTTCTTCAGCTTCATCAATCTCTCCTGTGTAGATCCCAGCTTCTCGAGCGTCTGTTCACGAGAACGCTCTAATCCAGCCAGGTCTTCTGCAATAAGAGTAACGGACTCCTCGGCGTGCCTCAAGGCCTCCTTCAATCTAGCCACTTCCTCACGGCCGGAATCCAAAGAGCTGAGTAACTCGGCTCTACCTGTATCCTTCCTCGCCACGGTAGCCATCAGCTGCGCAACAGAATGCTCATGAGATCGAAGCTCGCTGCCGATGGAAGATCTCAGGTCGTGCCACTGTGTCAGCCTATGCTCCATCTGAGAAGACACGAAGGAAGAAGCTCCACCAGCCTTCAACTCCTTCAACTCTCGGATCTCTGACTCCAGAACAGTGAAATCGACAGTGAAGGAATCGGCCAACTCTGGATACCCTTCTTCTCTGAACATCAGCATGTGACGAGAAAAAGAACGCCTGAACTGATCAAAACCGTCATCAGCATGTGACGAGAAAAAGAACGCCTGAACTGATCAAAACCGTATCCTCGATGAAGAAGTTTCTCGATCATGCCCTTATAAAAGACGGTAAAAAGGCCGAGGTCCGTACGGAAAATGTCTTTGTCGGGATCGGTATCAACCAAGAGGGCGCGGACACACTCATATAGAGATGATCGAGATCCTACAAGAAACAGTGTGGAAAGCTAAGAGATTATCGAATACGATAAGAAAATTTAAAGGCAAATTCCGAGCATACCAAGGCTAACGGAGGTCCCCTCAGGCTGAAATCCGACAGGTTCCGAAATAACTGCAGGAGTAGTCATGGAGGGTATATCAACCCCTGTAGGCAAATCAGTCATACCTCTCGGCTGTGGCGGGGAAACACCGCTCTCAGACAAACTATCAGTCCCAGAAACTGTAGTGGCATCAGGCACAACGGCTGGTCCTATAGTTGCACTTCTTTATTAGTCAAAATAAAAATTTAGACAAATAAGGAGGATCGGGGTGATAAGGTCATCTGCATACCTGTAGGTCCATCATCCTCAGGTATCCGGGGAATGCCAGGAGTCATAAGAGTATCAGTCCCGGTGGCTGGTCCTATGATTGCACCAATATATTAGTCAAAAGTCAGATAAATAAAGAGGAGTACGATGTCCCTAAATCGTATGCGTACCTGCAAATCCGTCACTCCGAGGTAAGCTAGATATGCCGGGAATCGATATTGGGTTAATCCCAATGACTGACGCTGTAATATTAATCCTTCGTTAGTCAAACAAAAGATCAGGCAAGATGAAGGGAATCAGATATATACCTGTGAATGAATCACTCTCAAAGGGTGGTCCCGCGGTTCTTCTGGTGGCCTGCTCAGCCAACATATCGGCTAATAATCCAGCGTCGGGTCCCGAGGAACCTGGTACATGGCTTTTCCATCGCGACATCTGCAGGACAACCTAAATGTTGGAGATATGTATAAGAAGATAAGGAAGAAGGGAAAGCTCAGAAATACCTGCAGCAAGAACAGAAGATTCTCTTTCCCCATGTTTGAGGAGGGTATCATCGGATGTAGAGATACCTGAATATGGAACGGTGGGCTCAACACTATTCACCTGTCCAAGATCAATGTTTAGATCGATACCCAGAGAACCGTCACGAAATGCGTCGCACATCTGCTCCATGAAGCTATCCATATTATCAGAAATAGTGAATACGGGAGACAATGGGAGTTCGCCCTCTTCAAAGAACCCTGGAACATAAAACATGATTACGAATCGACTGTCCTACCTGAAGTGATAAGGGTCATTTCATTAAGTGAACAAGATCTTTCGTTGATACCAATTGAAATTGAGAAAGAAGGCTAAAGAGCATGACAAACCTGCATCAAGTTCTTCTTGGTCGATATCTATATCCACATACTCCTCCTCAGAAGTCTCGTCACCATCGTCAGTAGGAAGGAGCTCTTCATCGTTTTTGCTTGAGAGAGGAGGGTTGGCAGACTTCTCCTTCTGTTTCTGAGCAAGCTCGGCTTTACGAGCAGCCATCATAGCGACCTGGACCGAGTGCTCAGACTCTAACTCTGAAAGACTCCTCACACCTATGGATTCATTGGCGGAGAGGAACCACTTACAACTGAGGAAAGTAATCATCGGCTTGCGCCTATATGAAGGGAGAGCAAAGTGGGCTCCGGTGCAGCCCACCACAGTCCATAGCCATGCCTGTACGCCATCAATAAGCCCCCCCTCAACCTTCAAACCACGGCTTGGATTCCCAACATATAGTTGATCGTAACCGAACTGACGAGCAAAACGGCAGGGAAGGTAAGGCTCTATGTGGCAATGATTCTTCACCCGGAGAACGAGATACCCAACACGGATGTTCACTAACCAGCGGAAACAACCAACGTCGAGAGCAGTCCGATTACTCCTCATCAATCAGCACATCACCATAGCGACCCGAAAAGTGAGGAAAACACTTGAAGAACTCCCAGCTCTTACGAACTTGAAGCTCTCGTTGTACATCATTAAATTTCTTCCCGAGCCATCTGCTCCTCTCCAACAGCTGCACGAAAGGAACGGGGACATCAACAACGCTGGGCGCCGACATCAAGTCAGGACGGTGAAGAACAAGCCACGCCATCAGATACGCATAAGGAAGCTCGACCTTCACACAAATAAGCTCGGCCGACGGTTCAGAACCCACCTGCGCAAAACCACTGACCAGATACCTGAGCCCACAATGGATATCAGCAACCATTGCTGGGAGCAGGGAAAGCTCCCTCCCATAAGCTAGCTGAACTGCGGGGAAGAGCACCTCGAGAGGTAAGGCGTCTAAAGACCGGTACGGAACAACACACTTCTTCAACCAGAGAGCAATGTAGCCTGCTAGCAGAGTCCGGGGCTCGATGGACTTCTGTGCATGGCGGAGGAACGAACGAAACTTGGTTCCTGCAGGAAAAGCTCCCTCATCACGGGCAATAGTGTAAGAATGAGCCTCAGCCTTCTCCATCAACTCATTAATGGCGGTAGGGGTCAGGACATCTAACTCACAAAGGGGCTCGCCGGAGTCACCCTCCAAATTAGGGAACAGATAGACAGCAAACTGCTTCAAGCTGATTTGCCTTTTCTTCTTCGCTGGAGGAGAAATCTTGATCAAGGAGGTATAATAATGACAAGTGATGTCCCAAAGAGTATCATGCATGTCGGGAGTATCCTTCTTCAACCACCCCAACTGCTGGTTCGAGGGAAAGTACTCCTGATATGGACAATCCCCCATTGGAAGACCAGAAACCTGATACATCTCAAGTAAGGCCAACCCTAACTCTCCGCCGCTGGTCATGAACGTGTTACTGTCGGGCATGTATGTCTCCAACAACGCCAAGAAATGGCAGCAGCTGACCGGAAGTCCGTACATGGTGGCCCGTATAGGTGCATACAATCTGCTGCTCTTCAAATCCTTCTCCCAGCGCCCCAAGACGTAACTGGTCATACGTGTCCACCATCCCTTGGCTTGTGAGAAAGCTCAACCATAGCATCTGTAATCTGGTGGAGGTAACCTTCTCCCAAGATGACCCAGAAGATTCTTCACAGTAGGAGCAACTGCTGATACCTCGCCTGGGGGTGCAGTGTCAAGACCCATAATCCCTGGTCGAAGACCGCGGATGTCATGATACCCAGTAGAACCAGGAATCTTATGATGAGAGGTATATCCACACTGAACTCGCTCAGCATCATAGGTAAGATGCCAAGACATCTGTCGCTCCACGACCTGTCCCTCCAAATGGGTGAAAGAATATTGACGAGGAATGGAGGGAATATACAGGAGAGCTCCCTCATGAAGATTCAGCCAATGCTCCTCGGTAAGAATCAACGTAGCAGGATCCTCCGTGTGATCCCCGAACAGGAATCCGGGCTTCTTTAAAGCCTGAGTGGAAGTAGAATCTGCAGTGAAGGAGGCGTCCGTAATCAGCTGGCGTAAGCAATGACGCCCTCCATCCCGTATCAAGCGACAGGATTCGTCGGAGCGATCTCTGTCAAACTGAGGGAGTGGACTAACGGCCTGCCTAATGGAAGCTGAAGAGAAGACCTCCCGGCTACAACCGGTATTAGCATAAGGAGGAAGGCTGCCCGCGGGGAACTCGACTGCAACAAAACACGAGGATAGAGTCAGAAAGCTCATAAAAAGCGAGATAAGATCAGTCACGGGATAATTGGAGAGATGATTTTGAGTGTCCTACACTGGAAGAACGGTATGCATCATCACGTAAATAACGTGGTAACATACACCGACCTATAAGGTGTAGGACGACACAAAATCACCCCAATATACCAGAAGACTTGAATTAGCCAAGCAAGCCAAGTCCGAAACCTCGACCCCCGTGAAGGAGGGTGTCGGCCCTTCCCGAATAACCCGCGAAGGGGCCAAACGAGGGTATAACAGAACCACCAAGTTCGAAACCTCGACCCCCGCGAAGGAGGGTGTCGGTTCTTCCTTCATGACCCGCGAAGGGATCAATCGGGGATACAAAAATAAAAAAATTCCCACCCCCCCGCGAAGGAGGGTGTCGGCCCTTCCCGAATGACCCGCGAAGGGGCCAAACGAGGGTATAACAGAACCACCAAGTCCGAAACCTCGACCCCCGCGAAGGAGGGTGTCGGTTCTTCCTTCATGACCCGCGAAGGGATCAATCGGGGATACAAAAATAAAAAGATTCCCACCCCCAAAAAAGGAAGCTGCTGGAGGGGAGGATGCTGTGGGAACTTCTCCCTCGCTAGGCTGCGAATGGGATCGACTCCTAGGAAGTCGAGATCGGCGTGGAGGCATCGGAAACCTGCAATGAAAAGCAGCAAGTCAGATACAATCTAAAGTATGAATACGCGAAATTTAAAAGGGAAATTAAGAACTTTAATTAAAATCCTGTGTATAAATAGGATTTTATAGTTGAAGTCTAATTAAACCTACAAATTTCGTGCATGCGAAACAATGATTGTTATTTTCGCAGTAAATTTTGGTGAAATACCCAAAATACCCTTCGTGTTCAAGGCTAAATTCGGGTCAAGGACACGCTCGAGTTGGGTCATGGTCATCATATTTGGTCATCTAGCACCCCGATACCCCCAATTTTGGTTAATCTTACAAATAAACCCTTTTGTAAAACCTAGCCAATTTTGCAAAAAAAAAACCCTCCACAAATTTCGGTTTGATTTCCACAAAACTTTGATCGTAGTTTTGTGGTCTAAACTTCTTGGTTTTCAGCCTTGGATTTTCTGCCCTTTTTGCAAATAAGTCCCTCTAAAACATTTATAAACTTCTTGGTTTTCAGCCTTGGATTTTCTGCCCTTTTTGCAAATAAGTCCCTCTAAAACATTTATGGACAATTTTGCAAATAAACCCTCAACAATTTGTGATCTCTTTGCATGAAGCACACCTCAAAGTTGTGGTCAATTGTGTCAAACATCCAAGCCTCAAAATTCCAGCCCTTTTGCAAATAAGCCCCCCTATACTTTGTGGATTGCTCTTTTGCAAATAACCCCTCAAATGGTAGCCCTCTTTTGCAAATAACCCCCTCAAGTTTCGGCCTCATTTTTGCACATATACCCTTCAAATTCAGTTCCAAATTTACACAAAACACCCCCAATTTTCGGCCATGAACAGTAAAATTTTCGGTCGTTAACAGTAAAATTTCCGGCCGTGAACAGTAAAATTTCCGGTCGTGAACAGTAATTTTTTTTTTGGGCCCAATTTCTCAAATTCCATACTCAAATTCAGTTTTCTTCCAAGATTAAAGAGCTAGAATTGAAATTATCAAGCCATCATGCAACAAAGTCCAAAGATTTCGGCCAACCCATCAAACCCAATGCAAATTTTGGATTTCTCCCCAAATCATTGAACTAGGGTTTTCAATCTTTGAACCAAAGCATGAGGAACTAACTAAAATCAAAGAAAAGAGACTTACCCAAGTTCTGAAGCTTGAAGAAGAAGAAAATCCCAAACCCTAGCTTGTGGGGAGATGAAAATTTTGGCCAAGGTTAGGGGTTCCTTTTTGAGGCTTTATCTTATCAAAGCTAATGGGTTTTAAGGAGGAAGACTTGGATCTTGTTTGGAGTCCTTGGGGTGGGGAAGTTCTTGGAGGTTTAGAGCTCTTGGGGAGGGAAAAGTGGTCAAAACCGAAAAAAAAATGATGAGGAGGGGGCGGAACTTGGCTGCTCAAAACCGAAGAAAAGAAAATGAAAGGAGAGGGGATCGGTTTTCTTTGTAAGTGGATTTTTTTTGTTGGACCAAACCCACATGACCCGAACCAACATGAACCGGCCTGAACCGGACCCTGACTTGAACCGAACCCAAACCTAATGTGTTGATTCATACGCGTGTGGGCCGCGAAATGTGGGCTCGCTCGTGTGGAGAGGTCCGAGGATAATTCATATGCATTTCGAACCTCTTTTCGGATATTTTTCGATATATTCGACACCTGTATTCATACTCCAATGAGAATACGAGTCTAAACTATTTTTCACAATGGACGGGAAGTTCCTGGAGAATATTATGTATAATATTCTTAAGGATAACCCGTCAACCTCCAACGGGTACACGAGGCTAAACTAATTCCCGAAACTCCCAGGAGTACACGAGTATAAACTGGTTCTCCTCAGGTTGATTCGGAACCCTAGGGTCAACGCCGGTCAACGCGTAACCCTAGGTCAACGCCAGTCAACGCGTTACGACCAAAAAGTCAACATTCGACGTTCGAAACCCTAGGGTCAACGCCGGTCAACGCGTAACCCTAGGTCAACGCCAGTCAACGCGTTGCGACCAAAAAGGCAACATTCGACGTTCGAAACCCTAAGGTCAACGCCGGTCAACACCGGTCAACGCGTAACCCTAGGTCAACGCCAGTCAACGCGTTGCGACCAAAAAAAGTCAACGTATGACGTTCGAAACCCTAGGGTCAACGCCGATCAACGTGTAACCCTAGGGTCAACGCCGGTCAACACGTAACCCTAGGTCAACGCCAGTCAACGCGTTGCGACCAAAAAAAGTCAACGTATGACGTTCGAAACCCTAGGGTCAACGCCGGTCAACGCGTAACCCTAGGTCAACACCAGTCAACGCGTTGCGACCAAAAAGTCAACATTCGACGTTCGAAACCCTAGGGTCAACGCCGGTCAACGCGTAACCCTAGGTCAACGCCAGTCAACGCGTTGCGACCAAAAAAGTCAACATTCGACGTTCGAAACCCTAGGGTCAACGCCGGTCAACGCGTAACCCTAAGTCAACGCCAATCAACGCGTTGCGGCAAAAAGTCAACATACGGTGATCTAAAACCCTAAGTCAACACAACGTGACGAAGGTAGTTCAAAGTCAAGAATGCAACCTAATCTCATCCCTTGCAGTAGACAGGCCAACTTGGTCCCTAACTGTAACTAATCAATTCTCTATCAAGTCTCTCTACTCTATGCTAGGAGATGGTGGTCTGCGTTTCCAATACATTTCTTCTATTTGGAACAAGTTGCTGCCCAGCAAAGTTCAAATTTTCTTTTGGCTCTTGAGCCTTCAAAGGCTGAAGTTGGAGGGGGTATCTGTAGGCATCAAAAATTGCCTATAGGTCTCCACGAATAGCTCAGTGTTAAGGAACAACAATGAACGTCACCATCTGGTTCACAGGAGTTCAATTGACATCGGTGAACGTTTGAAGTGAATCGACGAACTACGTGAACTGACAGAATTTCGGAATAACGAAGACACAGGCTAATCGAGAACCCCGCGATGTTTACAAAAAGAACAACGCCTTTCGTGTCTCGTTCGTTCTACAGATAATCCAACCATCGGAGCTGATAGAACTCTTCGTCAGAATTCCAACACAATTCGAATCACTAAAATCCGAGTTCGGATGAAGAATTTACAGCGGGGTGTCCTAATGCTCCTACATCAAGGTCCTTGAAATACTTGCTTCTAACGTCAACTTTATGGTGATTTTTTGATGTATTGGAGGAAACCTATGTAAGTGTTTCTAATTTTTTGATTATTTATACAGAGTTTTGTTATTGACTTTTGAATAGTGTATTAATTTGGACTAAGAGTGTTATTTTATAATTAATGCTAGAGACGTAATTTCTATTCTTCTCTACCTGGATTAGAGACGATTATTCATGTCAAGAAAGCCTTAGAAGTGAAATTGGTATACATTATTTCAAAATCTAGGCTAAATTCACAAGTCTATCTTTTAATTTGCTTTGCTATAATGTATTAGTTTTATCTGTAGCTAGAGTAGCAGACTGAATTCGTTAATCTAGCACTAGGCATTTATTTGAAATTTAACATAATTTTTTGGTTGGTATGGTTTTTTATGCTATATGTTGAGCATCTTATTAAAAATTGCGGCTGGGAGTTTAAATGCCATGTAATATTCTTTCTGGTTCTGGTCTCATAGCCAATATATCGGTTTCTCCTGCTTTAACAAGGCCACAAGAGCAGGTATTTATATTTTCTCCTCCATTCTATGGTATTTAGGTTATTTACTCTCTTTTGCAAGTGTTATTTTGGAAAAACTAGGTTGTCCCTTGAATGTCATTTTGGCCTATAGCTCCCCGTGCATAATTCAAGTCCTACTGTTCGATTTTGGAGGGTTATGGATCTTAGTATATCATTTACAATGTCATCTCTTTTTAAATTATAAAACATTTGGGATAATTGCCAGTTGCATGTTCAGACCTCTGCTTGGATTTTACTAATCGATCGGTGAGTGATCAATGGCTTCGAAGAGGATTTAGAAGGAACTGAAGGATCTGCAGAAAGATCCTCCAACATCTTGCAGCGCATGTCTCTTTTGATTTCTTATTTTTGGCCTTTTTTCCCCTTAAAATTATTGTGATGCTTACAATAGTAATTTTTCTATAATTATGATTCATTGATTTGGTCTGTTGTCTCATATCGATTCTAGGATTGCCAGAAGTAAATGTATGATTTGTATATGATTTATGTTCAGGATCTTGCTGATGATGCATGTTTTCTAGAGACGGTTCAATATCTGATCTCACCCCCCCCACACACACACACACACACACACGCGCGCACACACACACACAAAAGCCCCCTTCTACTTTTGTTGTGTGGAATTCTTGCGTGCATATTAGTTCATCTCTACTCAATGTATTTTGATGATAATTCCAGTTAGCATATCTGGGATTTTTGTTTTTCACCAATTTATTCAAGATTTTAGTCTTTTTTATTATCTGGGTTGTCCTATTTTTTATTGAATCAACTTCTTTGTTGCAGGACATTGGCCTCTCCATTTCTTTAATCCCCGCATCAATCCAAGGTTTGTCTGTAACCCATTTTCCCTTCTCTTGCTATGAATTGATTTTGCATATCAATTCAATTCCCGCAATCTATTGATTGTTTTCTAATTATAGGCATGTATATCTTTTCAAAAATTGGCACTACATTCAAGATTATTTGATTGAGATTTTGCCTAATAATTCATTGTTTAAAAATGGCTACAATGATTGCTAAGGGGAAGTAGCCTATTACCCTCCTCAATCTCAATTCAAGAAAGGGGAAGTAGAAACAATAGGAAATTTTGAGCCGACCTAAATTTGATCTCATCGCTGTCTCAATCCACAAATTGTTCCCAATGGAAGAAGACCAGTCAAATGAGTGTGATTTGTCTAAAAGCCATGACCTCATGTCCCTGGTAGAAGAGGTAGAACAAGAGCAATTCCAAGAAGCGGAGCTCGTCGGAGCTCCTCGCCGGCGGCGGAGGTTGGTTTCCACCCCCAATTCCAACAATCTCCCACTTAGAGACCAAACCGACGTCAACAGGCTATCCCATCAAGCTCCTCTTCTGTGTGGCTCCGCCTTCATCATCTATGCATGAAGGCCAACTGAAGTTGCGCACAACTCCAAGAAGCAGAATGGAGC